TTTACTACTCACCGTATACCTCCTACACTCCAGTCATACTAATCACCCTTAGGTAACCCCATTATTTCCTACTTCTCTATCTTTGGTATCATATTCTTCAGGAATACAGAAGTATCTCTTCTACCTATATTCTGAGCTCTGGATACTGGGTGTGTATTTTCTATCACAATATTTATACTGTAAAACAGAACCTTTTCATTAAGGAGCAGGTGTGCTCAAACTTTATTTTTGATTCAAAAATTTATGAATTGTGTGTTTGGAAACACACAATTCATAAATACAAAAGTCTGCTTTTATATAACTAAAGCTCTTATTCTAATATAACATACTATGACTGCCGTATTTCAAAAAGATCTCCTTGATTATGCTGTGTCTCCTATTCGTCCTTAAGAAGCCTTGATCTACAATTCCACATCTATGGGAACACAGAATTCTATGCAGAGCTAGTAACAAAAAGACTATAAAAGTATTATGCTTTGCCAAAACCGGTTTGGCTCAGTGGATAGAGCGTCAGCCTGCGAACTGAGGGACCCGGGTTCAATCCCCCCTAATGGGGGATGTGCAAGAGGTAGCTGATCGATGACTCTCTCTCATCGATGTTTCTAACTCTCTATCCCTCTCTCTTCCTCTCTGTAAAAAAATCAATAAAAAAAATATATATATTTAAAAGTATTGTTTTGGTATTCTTAAAAATGAAAAACCTGTAATTAGCTCAACTGCTTTTTACAGTAGTAATCAAGTCTTTTTTCCATTTTAAGTAGTATAGGCAGTTCCCAACATAGCATTACCATCACCCCCATGAGTTCTAACATATGGCTGAAGATAACCAGTACAAACTAGTTCATGCAGCTGATTTCTTCCAGCATTTGCACTGAGAATAACTGTACAAGAGACTGTATGAAACATTTTGGGAAGTGTTGAAAGCTTGAACAACTTCTAAAACAGTGCTCAAGATATCCCAAAGGCCTGAAACACAAAGAGATAGGAATGTATCAAGGCCAACTTTACCTACACTGAGCTGAGGGCCAACCCTATACGTATAGAAGAATGAAAATAGGGTTCTTCATTCTTTTGTACTACATGACCTCTTGTTCTCAGAATTTGAAGTCAAGGTGTTATTCTAATATAGGTGTGAAATAAATTGATAAAATAATCATTGAGTGAAGTCTGGGGAATTATGTTTTAGGGCAACTGATTACACACTATTTAAAAATAGGTTTATTATAAAATGGTAAAACTACATTTCTGTAGGTGACTTTAAGGCAACAAATAATTTTAGAAAAACTCAAACTACACTAAGCAAAGTAGTATAACTAAAATTTCCTCTTAAAACATGGTTTCCTGATGTTAATGTGCTATAAGGATACCATTTATCTGGAGACATGTTCTAGTTCAGCAAATCTTTGTCATACCACATGCAAAAGAAAGCATTTCTTATTCTAATAGATAACATTACTAAGTTTCACGCTTTAAATGTAAAACTTACAGACAATTAAGAATAACTTACATAAAACTGCTTAGAGTAGCACTTTAAATATTACATAAAAATAAATTTCATTTGTAGAACACTTAACAATGTTGGGTAATTAGTAATAATGGAAACAACATTATTAGGTTAAAAGATACCCATGCCAAAAATAAGTCCATATCATTTAAAAATACTTACAAAATATTCTGTCTTTATTAATAAATAAATAAATGAAAATCAAAGAAAGAAATAAACAAAAACTATTATTACGGGGTACTTTTCAAGGTTATTGGGAAATAATGAACCTAAGTCACATATCTACAGATGAGAAAATTAAAGCTGAAAGAGTTTACGCTAAACAAAAAAATTATCAAATAAACCAAAAACCTAGAATTCAAACCAAATTCAAATTCCTGAACTATATAGAACCTGTAAGAGAACCACTGCTCTGTGTATTTAACAGGCCCCTAAGGTACCTGTTTGAAAAGCAGGTTCCAGGAACCTACTTCAGACCCACCCAATGCAGGGAGTGGGAGGTTTGGTGTCCCTCAACAATCTGCATTTTAAATAACTTACCTGGGTGAATCTGCAGTGTTGATGACCATCTTTTTGAGAAAGACCAATGTAAAGGGATAATGTATATATTTGAAAAGGTAAAAATCAACTTGTATCTGTAAAGTCATTTTTCTAAGCACTATGTGATTATAACACAACAGAAGAGCAATGGGTAAGGTCACAGACCTGTCTAACTTCTTCCGTCCTCCTTTTGATTATCATCCTTTCAGAATTCTGTAAGTCATAGAAAGTTAGAGGAATATTCTCAGTTTTGGGTAAATTATGTTAGTAGCAACCAAGAAGCAATGGGGCAGACTGGTCACTGCACCAGGGTTCTGGAATTAAACCTTTCCTTCTAGGTCCTCATACTGAAGATCAATAGGCTTGGTCTTAATTTCCCCCCCACCAAAACCTAGAAATCATTTTGACTTTGCTCACATTTTTTGGGTACTCTTGTTCTAATGTTTAAAGCTGTCAGTTCTGCTCAGCTACATATAATAATTATTCATAGTGAAGATACGATAAATAAAAACTTTTACAAGCATTTTTCTTCTTTAAATATATACTTCCTTGTCAGACTATTAGATGTTTTCTAGTTTACTTCTCTTTACAGAAATGAGCTAAAATTTATACATAAAGATCTCTAAATTCAATAAAGCAATTAAAGAAAGCAAATCACTAACAAGAGTAGTATTCTCAAATTCACCTTTGTTAACTGGACTGTAAGACCAAATAAAGGTACATGCTGAATCCTTAAAAGCAAGAAAGTATGAGAGAAGATTTTGAGATCTTGTTCAACAATATGTTAAGTTCAGAAAGCTTATCCTAGAATGACTACTATATTTAAGAGCCTAATTTAACAGGAAAACCAGAACTAAGCTCAGAACAAATATGTATCTATTATGGAGTATTTCCCCCAACTGAGAATATACCAACACACCATAATAGATCAATTCCCCAAAAACATATTATGAACATTGCTTTCTATGCAAAGTTAGTACAGATAAAGACATTGAGAAATGATTCCTCATTTAAAATCATATACACATCATTTAGCTTGAATGAAATGTAATTTCCTTTAGAAATAGATTTAATTCTAATATTTTTGTCTAAATGGAAAAATCAACAAGACAACTAGACATGTACTAAAATAAGGATGAACACACATATTTGTCAGGTGTTACATATCATCCTCAGCCTTTAATAAAACGTATTTACTACATTTAAACTGTCACTATCAATCCCTTTCCCCCATATTGCTCTTTAGTAGCAAATGCTTGATAAAACTGGACTGAACATTCATTCCAAGACAAATTTCTTTCATTAAAAGAAAGAAAAAAGCCAAATAAACACTAAGGTACTATGATTTGAACTAGTATTATACCAAACTCAGGCCTACACCTTGGAACGTCTTCCTCCATAGTTAAAAGAGCCCCTGAAACTGCAAAAATTGGATAACCCTTGGTTCATGTAATGTTTAAAGCTTCTTACTCTATTTCTATGTTGTGCCATTCTGTACAATACTTTTTGCCAAACAACAATTTATTGACCAGAATCAGGTCCCAGATAGTTGTTTTCCTAATTATGTCTTCTATGCTTCACGAACTAAAACTCAAAGCAAATCAAAAACTCTATTTGTTGACAGATATACAGATAGCTCAAGCCCCCACCTCTATATTCTTGCCTCTTTGCTATGGCATTCAGGGAATCCAGGGACTGAGTTCTAAGAACACAAATTATTCCAGCCTCAATTTACCAATATTGTCAGTCTTGGCCAATCTCAGATCTTATTATTATTCTGGTTGTTGGTTCTATTACCACCTACTATGATAGAAAGCAGGATGACAGCTCATTTGAAATAAGCTATGTTTTCAACCACGTCAGAAGTATTAGGAAAGTAAAGATTAAAGGGACCGCTTGTAACCTCTTCTCACCCATCCTAAAAATCTGTGTTAACACCTAAGTCTTTTAAAACATTTTGTGGTAGGAAAAATTACAACCACTTTAGGATCTTGAACACTTAATACTCGATAAGGATTTGGTAGCATAATATTAGGCATATGTGTTAAGGATCACTTGAATGAGAATGTAAGTTCATTTAGTGTGTTGAATAAATATTAAATCTTTCACAATAGTAATTTTTATAGTAGGATTTTGAAAATAAGTAACAAAAACAATTCAGTGTTAGAAAAGCTAAGTTTTTAATACTGTCTTCATAAAACATTTAAAAACATTTTGTTGGGGAGTTACTGCTGGGTATGGGGTTTGGGGAGGAGGAAATGATAAATACGTTCCAAAATTAGTTTGTGGCAATGCACAATCCTGTGAATACACTTAAAACCAACGAATTGCATACTTTAAATGGATAAATTGTATGTGAATTATTTCAATAGTAAGCCATTTGAAAAAAAAAAAATCAAGCACTAGCTGGTTTTGCTCAGTGGATAGAGCGTTGGCCTGCAGATTGAAGGGTTCTGGGTTCAATTCTAATCAAGAGCATATATCTGGGTTGCAGGTTCAATCCCCAGTGTGGCATGCAGGAGGAGACAGCCGATCAATGATTCTGTCTCATCATTGATGTTTCTCTCTCTCCCCCTCTACTTTCCTCTCTGAAATCAATAAAAATATATTATTTCAACCTCATTCTAACAGTTATTACATTATTATTATATACTACCTAAAATATTATTAAAATATTTATTTAAAAAAAACCTTATAGAGAAACATACTATATTAAGCCAGGTATTAGGCTACCAAAAACAACAAACCACTTGGGAGCCAGAGATAACCGAGCGTTAAGGAGCCCTTATTATAAACATTAAACAAACAAACAAACAAACAAACAAACAGTAATAGACTGAACAGACCCCTAAATGATTTCTTCAAAAAGACTATTATTTGAAAACAATCTTAAAATGGAAGGCTTTGCTTCTGTAAACAAAACATTAATGAAGTCCTCAATAGCATGAGCACTTACTCATCATACTCGATATGATAAACAACATCTTCATCAGCAGCAACAGAGTCTGAATTAGACGTAGAGGGTACAATGTCCAATTTATTTGTGCTCTCTTTGGAATTATGATTTACATTTCCATTAGTCCTTTTACAAGAACTGCCATTCTTCAGGGGAGTTTTGCCACGTGAATGTTCATCAGAAGCTCTAGTAACACTATGTATACGTGCTTCAAACCAGGAACCAAAGGTGACATCTCTGACATCCACCAATTCATTTACCTAAAAAAAAGTTTAAAATTAATTAATAAAGTGTAATTTCATCTATTGCTTTAAAAACCTTAATATAACTCAGGTTATTTTTATAGTTATCACGGTTAAGAATATTTGTAGCTACTTCATGCTTAAAGTAATTTCAAAGATTAGATCAAAACTATTCTTTTTGTATTATACTATAAAAATCCATTATTTACTAGTATAAAAATTGTCGTAACCGGTTTGGCTCAGTGGATAGAGCATAGGCTTGTGGACTGAAGGGTCCCAAGTTCGATTCTGGTCAAGGGCATGTACCTTGGTTGCAGGCACATCCTGTCTGGGAGATGTGCAGGAGGCAGCTGATCGATGTTTCTAACTCTATCCCTCTCCCTTTCTCTCTGTGAAAAATCAATAAAATGTATCTTAATAAATAAACAAACAAACAAATCACAAGATGGTGGCACGCATAGCAGAGGCTGGGTTTCCATAACGAGCTGAAACTAGCCATCATTAGGGCCCTGAGGCTGCATAATACCAGGGCAGGGGACCTAAAGCTGTGCCCCCTGCCTGCCTGGCAGGGCTTGATGGGAGGACCTCAAGACATGCCCCCTTGCCCAGCGGGACTTGACAGGGTACCTCAAGGTGTGCCCCTCTGTCTGGTGGGGCTTGAGGGAGGACCTTAGGCCGTGCTCTGTGCCAGGCCGGGGACCTGAGGCCATGCGCCCCACCCTGGCTTGACAGGGGTGGGGCTGGCCAGTTCTGGATTTTGTGCGATTTTGAGGCATGTGGATGGCGAGGACGTGACTTTGGGTCTGGTGGCGTGCCCCAGACTCTGACAGGAAGAGGACTTTCATATACATTTTATTAATTTACTTTTGTCTCTGACATTTCTATTACAGAGAAAGGGCAAATAGCAATCTTACATAATAATAGACAAACATGCAAATTGACCGTGTATCTACTACACCACCAGCCAATCAGGAGTGATATGCAAATTACCCAAACAAAGATGGCAGTTAATTTGCAAGCACAGGCATGTTGTGTGTGTGTGTGTGTGTGTGTGTGTGTGTGTGTGTGTCCCCGTCTCTCAGGGCCTCTGGGCAGTGTGGGAAGGTGGGGCCAAAGAGGAAAGAGGTGGCTCTAGGGCCTGAGCAGAAAGGGGTTGGGCTGGAGTGGAAAGTATGAGGTACAAATGAAATACTTAATTTGCATATGAAAAACCTATTCTAGCACGAATCTTCATGCATCAGGCTTCTAGTCCTATATAATAAAAGCCTAATATGCAAATCAACTTAAGGGCTGAACAACTGGTGCAATGACTGGTCACTATGATGCACATTGACCACCAGGGAGCAGACACTCAACGAAGGAGCTACCACCAGCCTACAGGCTCCAGGCCAGACAAGGTGGGTGCCAAGGAGCACCCCAATCACCCTGCTAGTCATCCCGCAGAGAAAGGCAACCAGCAACAGCTGTGGGGGATAGGGCCAGCAAATGGGGGCGCTAGGCTGGCCAAGGCAAGTGCCAGTGGAGGGACTGCCCCACAATTGCCCCATAGATCGGCCCTGATCCACCAATCAGGGGCCCTACACATGCACAAATTTTGTGCATTGGGCCTGTAGAATTAAAGTATTTCCTCTAGCCAAAATCAGTTTGGCTCAGTGGACAGAGCCATCGGCCTGCGGACTGAAGGGTCCCAGGTTCGATTCCAGTCAAGGGCATGTACCTTGGTTGAGAGCACATCCCCAGTAGGGGGCGTGCAAGAGGCGGCTGATCGATGACTCTCATCGATGTTTCTAACTTTCTAGCTCTCTCCCTTTTTCTCTGTAAAAAATCAATAAAATATATATTTTAAAAAAAATATTTCCTCTAATTCCCCTTTAATGTGCACAATTTTGTGCACCAGGCCACTAGTTAAGTATAATTACCCACTCATGATATGCATATAAGCTGTATGGAAAAATACTTTTAAATTCAGAAGTGAAGTTTCTGAACATTACATTTGAATGGGTCAAAATGCCTATAAGAAAAGGGTTAAAACTCTTCTGAAAAACCTGTGTTTTGAAGACAGTTCAGAAGAGAATAATGTAAGCTTTCTTGGCAGTATCCTGTTTTCATGTTAGTCATAACTTGTTTAGTAATCCATTTGAAATTAAAAACTGAAAAAGTCCAAGGCCACCAAATGTACACCACCAAGAAGTCAACTTTAATGCAAACTATGGACTGTGGGTGATGGTGTGTCAACGTAGGTACTTCAATTCTAGCAAATGTACCACTGACATAGGGGATGTTGGTAATGAGGAAGGCTATGAATGTGTTTTGGCAAGGGGTATGTGAGAAATCTCTGTATTTCCCACTAAATTTCCCACTCGTTCTAAAATGCTATACTCTTGTTTCTCTTCAGATCGCATAAATCTTTCGCCTTTTACTAAAATGTTAAGTCTATTGCCCTGGCCAGATAGCTGTGTTGGTTAGAATGTTGTCCCTATGTGCCAAGCTTGTGGGTTTGATAAATGGTCAGGGCATATATAAGAATCAATCCATGAAAACTAAATAAGTGAAACAACAAATTGATTTTTCTCTTCCCTTTCCTTTCTATTTCTAAAATAAATAAAAATTTAAAAATAAAATGTAGTCTATTAAAAAAAAACTAAAAACCCCAAACACTTTCTAATAAAAAAATATTGTTTCATGACAAAGTATACATGGTCAACGTACTATGTTCTTTTAATATATAGTCGGTTTTATTTGCTAAACATAACTTAGACTTTATATGAACATGTTAGCAATATTGGTATGGTTTTTATCATGTTTTGCCATGGCTGGTATGGTTCTGTGGCTAGAGCTTCAGACCTAGGACCAAAGGGTCACTGGGGTCACTGGTTTGATATCTCAGTTGTAGGGTTTGCAGGTTTAAACCCAGGGGCCCTGATCAGGGCTCCTGTGTGAGGCAACCCATCGACGTGACTCTCACATTGATGTTTCTCTTTCTCTCTCTCTGCCTTCCTCTTCCTCCTTACCCTTCACTCGCTCTTAAAAACAAAAACAAAAAAAATAATGGAAAAAGTATCCATTTTTTCTGAGGATTTTTAAAAAGAATGTTATTATTATTTATAAAAGCAAAAGTCTCCCATTTCTATTTTTTAAAAGAATTTCTTGTCCAGTTTTTTTTTTTAATATATATGTTTTATTGATTTTTTTACAGAGAGGAAGGGAGAGGGATAGAAAGTTAGAAACATTGATGGGAGAGAAACATCAGCTGCCTCCTGCACACCTCCTACTGGGGATGTGCCCACAACCAAGGTACATGCCCTTGACCGGAATTGAACCTGGGACCTTTCAGTCTTAAGCCGACACTCTATTCACTGAGCCAAACCGGTTCATGTTGATAGAAGAAGGAATAAATATCGAAAAGATGTCAATTCCAAGCTGATCTATATATAATCCCCATCAAAATCCTTCCAGATTTTTCTGTAATTTTGACAAGCTAATTCTAAAATTTTTACATGCAAGTGTTAAAAGCCAAAAACCAAGACACCTTTGAAAAGAAATTATATTTGGATATATCAAAACAGCATTATGGTACTCAGAGCAGCATGGGCACAGGGATAGGCAAACAGACCAATGGAATACAGTAGAGAGCAGTTTGGCAATATCCTATGAGAGAACAACCAGTACTTCTATTTCTAGATAAAAATTCCTGAGAAATTCTTGAGCACTCACACCAAGATACAAATAGAAGGTTCATAGCAGAACTGTTTAAAACAACTGAAAGTGAAAACAATTCAAATAGCTAATAATATTGTGACAAATTAATAAAATAAAATGAAATAATATAAAAGTGAAAAATAAAGCTTTAGCCCTAGCTGATCTGGCTCAATGGATAGAGTGTTGGCCTGTAGACTGAAGGGTTCTAGCTTCATTTTCTGGTCAAGGGCACATGCCCAAGTTGTGGGCTCGATCCCCAGTGTGGGGTATATGTGTGTGTGTGTGTGTGTGTGTGTGTGTGTGTGTGTATCAATGATTCTCTCTCTCTCCCTCTCATCATTGATATTTCTATCTCTCTCTTCCTCTCTGAAATCAATAAAAATATTTAAGTGAATAAATAAAGCTTTATGCAGAATTTCTCAAAGTTGAGAAAAAGTAGAATTCCATTATATAAAATCCAAATACAAGCAAAAGAAAACATTTTGTTTAGAGATATATATTAACAACACTACAGAAAAACAAGAAAATTATCGTAAAAGTCAGAATAAGTAGTTTACCTTGTTTTGAGAGAGAAATCTGTTATTGGTAGGGGCATATAAGAGGCTTTAAAAAGAAACTGGTATCATTCTACTTCTTAAATTTGGTGGAATTACACAGTTATTTGCTTTATTACACTTTAAATTCTACCTAATATTTTACATTTAAAAAATATATATTTTATTGACTTTTTACAGAGAGGAAGAGAGAGAGATAGAGAGTTAGAAACATCAATGAGAGAGAATCATTGATCAGCTGCCTCTTGTACACCCCCTATGGGGGATGTGCCCGCAACCAAGGTGCCCTTGACCGGAATCAAACCCGGGACCCTCCAGTCCGCAGGCTGACGACACTCTATCCACTGAGCCAATCCGGTTTTGGCATATTTTATGTTTTTAAAAGACTTTAAAAAGTATTAACAGCCCAAGCTTTACTTTCAAATGGCAATCAATGTACTTATTCACAACACCCTGAAGAGAACAGATTAACAAGAATTTTTAAAACATTTTTTATCTTATTTTATTTTACTAAAAATTTTTTTTTTAAACACCACACTTTTAATTGATTTCAGAGAGGAAGAGAGAAGGAGAAAGAGATAGAAACATCAATGATGAGAAAGAATCATTGATCTGCTGACTCCTGCATGCCCCTCACTGGAGGACTGAGCCAGCAACCTGGCATGTGTCCTGACGGGAATCGAACCATGACCTACTGATTCATAGGTCAACACTCAACTCTAAGCCATGCTGGTCAGGCTAAAAAGTTTAAAAACTGACTTTAAGAGAAACATCAATGTGAGAGTAAAACTTCAATTTGCTGCCTCCAGCACCCCCCCGCAAGGAATTGAGCCTCGAATCTAGGCTCGTGCTCTGACCTAGAATCAAACGGGCAACCTCTAAGTCACACTGGCCAGGGCACAACTAATAAGAATTCTGAATACAACGTACCTTATATATTCCAATGTCAGGCTCAATAAGCAAATCACGAACTGATGTAGGTAGCTGACTGGAAGATCTCACCCTTGATGCTTTCTTCACTTTAGGTGGATTATCAGAACAGGGTTTGGCCTGCATATCACTCTGTTTAGATGTGCTAGGAAGATCAGAGTCTGGGCGAGCTAGTAGCTGAATTATATCATTCAGTCCAACATCATAGTCAAATAAAGTATATCCATCTTCCAACTAGAAACAAAAGATAGAAAAAGATTAAAATGCTTCCCTCAAAACTTGATTTTTCTGTATCTTTAGGTACCCAAAGGTCTTAGTCAAATTATTAAAAATACATAGCATTGCAATTTAGAGATCCTGAAACTATTCCTATTACTTTATGGCCTCTGATGTCAGTATCTTCTCAGGACTTCAATAAAATAAGAATCATTCCATATTAGCTATAGGGTACACTGATAGCCACTAAAACAAAAAACAACACATCATTGCTATTATGACCCCATCACCTAAGAAGGAAAAAAAAAAAATCTAGATTTCTCACCAAATTTTATTTCAATGAACAGTGCCTGAATGCACTGCAAGAGAAATGTTTTATGAAAGTGACTTTTTTTTATGATCTTGTGTCCATAAAGACATTAACCATTTCATCTTTCCGAAGATTGTCATTAAATTTTTTTAAATCAAGCAGAAATAAACAATTCAAGCAGGAATAACTACATGCTCATGCTATTCCACGTGCCTAAAGTTCTCTGATTACATCCATTTCTTTCTTTCTTTGAGAGAGAAAAACTGATTGGTTATGTCCCACAGGGACACGAATAGACCACCACCACAGGGAATGGAAACTTTAAGCATAGGGGATGACACTCAAACCAACTAATTCACACTGGCCAGGGCACATCCATTCCTCAAGCTTGTAAGTTATATCATGAAATGTCTTCCCGGTTGAATAAATTATCCTGTAACTTACCCATATTTTAGCAAGGTCTCTATAATACACTGAATTGTGTCAATTCAAATATTTGATATCCTAATACCATTTAACTCAGAATGTGACACTTGGCAAAATGGTCTTTACAGAAGTAATCAAGTTAAAACTAGGTCATATAGGTGGGTCCTAATTCATTGTGATTGGTATTCTTTAAAAAAAAAAAAAAGAAGAAGAAAAAAATAAAAATATATATATATAGTATTTATTTTTTTACAGAGAGGAAGAGAGAGGGATAGAGTCAGAAACATCGATGAAAGAGAAACATGGTTCAGCTGCCTCCTGCACACTCCCTACTGGGGATGTGCTCGCAACCAAGGTACATGCCCTTGACCGGAATCAATTCTGGGACCCTTCAGTCCGCTCTACTCATTGAGCCAAACCGGTTTCGGCATGGTATTCTTATAAAATATTGAAATTTGGCCCTGGCTAGTGTGGCTCGGTTGGAGCGTCGTCCCCCATATCAAAAGGTGGCGGGTTCCATTCCTAGGTCAGGACATATATAACCATGTTTTTAATTTGATCTCTGTTCGGGGTATGTGCAGGAGGCAACCGATAGATGTTTCTCTCACAATAATGTCTGTCTGTCTTCCTCTCTCAAATCAATAAAAACCTATCTTCTTGGTGAGGATTTAAGAAAGTAAACACAAAGTTGAAACTTGGGATAGAAAGACACACCAGAGGAAGGTGCAAAAGCACACGGGAGGAAATAACCATGTGACTGGAGTGATGCATTTACTGCAAGCCAAAGAACATCTAAGATTGCTACGGTAGCAAACACTAAAAGCTAAAAGCTTAAAGAAGCAAGGACGCCTTGATTTCAAAGGGATAGTCTCCAGAACACGGACACAAAAATTTCTGTGGTTTTAGACCACCTACGTTTTGGTACTTTGTTACCGTAGGAAGCCCTAAGAAACCAAGTCTCCATTTATTTCTTTGTAAAATTTACTGGCCATTTCACTATGATACAATAAAACTAAACTCCTTCAAGATTAGAACTATCATTTCCCTAGGCACATCAACAATTTAATTATTGTTCATTTCCCCCTCTTTTATGTAATTACCTTCCACCATCTACAACTCCATTATTGTAAGACCATGTTTAAGAAGTCAAACAAAGAACAAAAGTCTGCCCTTGAATGATAAACTTAGTAATGCACTAGATTAATTTTAATTCAAGTGGTCCAGAAACACACAATCCTGCACATTACAAGTGTTCACAATTCTTAAGTAGAACAAGGGATTGAGAAATTCATAAAATCCCCAGTGGGGAAATTAAATTAAGACACTATCTCACGGGTTATTTAATATGCTTATTCCAAGTAAGTGTAAGGAGTCTTCCAAAAGTCAGTAAGCAGATATGCCCTTATAAGGATGGCAAAGTTAATATTGCTTACCTTATTAAAAGACAAACAAGATCTCCCTCTAATCCAGAACTCCTGGGTTAAAAAATGCAACGTAGGAAAAAACTAAACATTCACACTTTCACTGACGCTTCTCCAAGATCCCCTCCCCCCAAAGAAAACATAACAAAATAATTCTGGAACAACTGAAAAAGCACAATTTGGTTGAACATACGACTGTTACATATTATGACAATAAAAAAAATGGAAGCGTTTAAAATAGAAAACAAAAACACCTATCCAATAGCACAGAATGTACAAGTTAACTGGTAGGGCATTCTTTAAAATGATGAGCTGTTAAGTGATATACTGGAAATCCAAGGTGTTTCCATAAACATTTTTCCACTGAAATTTGAGGCAAGAGGGACCTTGAAGGTATTGGTTTATTATTATTATTATTATTATTATTTTTTTTTTTTTAACAGAGAGGAAGGAAGAGGGATCGTTAGAAACATCGGATCAGCTGCCTCCTGCACACCCCTTACTGGGAATGTCCTGCAACCAAGGTACATGCCCTTGACCAGAATTGAACATGGGACCTTTGAGACTGCAGGCCGATGCTCTATCCACGGAGCCAAACCAGTTAGTATGAGGGTATTCTTACATACTCAACCCCTTTCACTAGTTTCTACCAAGTCAGTAAATACAAGCTGCTTCAATGGATACTTGGTTTAAAAGGAAAAGCAATGCCAGAGTGAAGCACTAAGCATATTCAAGGTATGAGGTCCTATAATAGAAGTTAAGCTCACATTAAAATGTAACCGTCTTTCTAATTATTCATGCTTACTATAAGAGCCACTTTGACCCATATTATCCACTCCCTTCCCAAATTCATGGCTATCTTTCTAGTTTTCCTAAAACAGTTATCTATTTCACATCAAGTTCCACATAGCTAAGCCACTGTAAAGAGTTGTAAAGAATGTTGGAATGATTTGTTACTGGAAAAGTACTGAAATTCTCCTAAATTTAACAGTTACCTGTCACTTAAACTATGCTCTGAGTGGGAAGGTTGGATCACTTAGAAATTACAAACACCTATGAATTTCAGGCACATAACTGTAAGTCCATCAATGTCTCATAGCAGAATTGCTTTCCTAGAAGATGGAGGCCTGACATTTATAATGCTAGAAAGGCAGGAATGGCCCTAGAATTTTGTTTTGCCAGACTGCACTCTTGAATTTTTACTGGATTAACAAAGGATTGTTAACAGTGATACAAGGGAAAACCAGGAAGCAAATACCAAGTGGCAGTGACTGAGAAGGCAGTGGGAAAGTCATTCCCAAGAAGCTAATGATAAGCAGGCAGGGCATTAATTTAACAACTTTCATGTACCTTTCACTTATCCTACATAATCAAGAGCAAGTATGTTAATTAGACTGAACAGCCGACGTTCTTCCGGATGACCTTCCAGACGAAGCTGGGGCTACAAGGGCCCTGTGAGGACCAGCCGGGGCTGCAAGGGCTGGTGGAGGCAGCTGGGGCCACGAGGGCCAAGCCCCTCACACAAATTTCGTGCATCGGCCTCTAGCAATATATGCAATAGGCAACACACAAACACAACCTTTAAATAGGCAAACATTTTTACTTTGTAGTCTGTGTAAAAAGGAAGAGTCCACAGGCAAAAGGCAACTACTACTCACAGTTTTGGTTCATACCTCATATCTACAATCTACTCTGAGGTTATCTCTAAGTGGTAACTATAGATAACTAAGGTTATCTATTCAGGGGAAAGAATGAAAGGAGGATTTTTTCAAAGTAGGAAAAGCTCTGGATTCTTACAAGATTTAGAAATGCACCAATGCAACTTTTTAAAAAAATATATTTTTATTGATTTCAGAGGAGAGGGAGAGATAGAAACATCAATAAGGAGAGTATCATTGATCAGTTGCCTCCTACAAGGCCCCTACTGGGGATCGAGCCTGCAACCCAAGCATGTGTCCTTGTCCGGAATCGAACCCAGGACCTTGCAGTCCACAGTGCAACACTCTATCCACTGAGTCAAACCAGCCAGGGCACAACTTCTTTAAAACAGCAATAACGAAACCCCACCAATCCCTAGGGTGCTTCAAACTCAACCCCCACCCCTCATAAGAGAATACTCAAATGAGTTTACCCTACTTTAACCAGAACTTAACCCTGAATTGCTAATTCTCCATTTTGACCCTCAAAAGCGGAGTGAATTTTACATAGCTTCTCAATTTTAATTTGCATACAGATCACCTAGGGCAGTGATCGGCAAACTCATTAATCAACAGAGTAAATATCAACAGTACAACTATTGAAATTTCTTTTGAGAGCCAAATTTTTTAAACTTAAACTTCTTCTAAAGTCACTTCTTCAAAACAGACTCACCCAGGCGGTGGTATTTTGTGGTAAAGCCACACTCAAGGCACCAAAGAGCCGCAGGTGGCTCAGTAGCTAGGTCTGGTGTGAGGTTCCCGGGGTGAAGTTAATGCTGCTGGCCCTGCTGACCCCAGGGACCATACTTTGAATAGTAAGAAACTAATAGAAGATTGACTGTCCTTCAACTTTCATTTTCAGACTCCGGTGTTCATCAGACTCCCCTGTGGGATCTTGTTAAATTCAACTACTTGCAATTCTGGAGTGAGCTGAACATCTATAATAAAATATCCACAAGTGATTCTGATATACATCGAAGAGTAAAAGCAGCAGGGTATAACAGACAAAGGGGAATTTACACCAGAGACGGTGTAAATTTGTTTTTTAACGTTTTTCACTATGTGGCAGTAAAGCCTCTTGAGAAAGGGGTGCCTCCTTCTAGTAAGTATGAAGGCATTTTACAAGATAAGGGCAGTCCTGTGACACCAATCCAGTAGTTGCCCACGGCAGATATACTACCCTATCTGTGCACTGTGAACTCCAAAGAGGAAAGATGGAGATAAGTAATCACTGCCATGACAACTTTTAAGCTCATAAGGAAGCAAACACAGCTGGAGCAGTGTCTTCCTTCTCCAATTCAATGAGCATCAAAGGTCCATTCCTTATCCCTATTGGTTTATCACTGAGCTGGAAAAAAAAAAATCAGAATTACTTTATCAACTGTCCTGGGAAAAGAAGCACAAAAGGTTATTATCCCAAACACTTCCCTGAACCTGGAACCAGCTTCCTGGTGTACTGGAGGGAAATCCATTGTGTTAAACTGAATTTAACCCAATCCCTACCTTTTCCTCAAGGCAACCAGGTACATACTTTCTTTTAGCGTGTTTGGCATGGGGGCTTTGCCCAGGAGTACATTCTCATGCTTCATTTCCATCACTAGTGTTGAAGTCACCAAAGAATCCCTGGCATTCATGTACTATTGTCCCTAGTACAATTCACAAAACCTGATTACATGCTTTTCACCATTGACCATAATATTAAAAGGTACCAGCCACTGGCAGCATAGCAATATAAATCTACATAGTGTTTTATACAAGTGTTTCAAAAGCGAAGTTTAGAACTAAATTGAACACCCGTTTTTATTACAAGTCAAACACTAAAGGATCAATATAAACTGGCTGCAAGAACAGAGCAAAGAAGCTATAACATTTATTTTAAAACAAATTAAAATAGTCTCGTGATTCACTCTTCTCTCAGAGTGTAATCTTGTTACTCTGAAATTTCTGGGCAGATCTAGAAGGGTAAGCATATCAGGGGTAGAAAAAGATTCCTTTCAAGTCCTTTGTGGTTGTAGGAAAACGGCTACCACCAAATCCAAGAGAGCTACATTTATTTCAAACCACAGGATCAGAGCCAAACTGTGGTCTATCAACGGGTGAATGCCAACTTTTTCAGTGGGTTAACATAAAAAAAATAAAGAGACAAGAAAAAATAGGATGTGTCTGTGTCTCTGGTATAGACCAAGAGAGACTTGTGGAATAGGAAAAATCGTCAATGGGCCAGTGCACGGATATACCATACAAACTATACCAGAGATGACCACACATACATTCACCGCCAAGATCACTTTCAGCCTTTAAACATGTACCGCTAGCTGTGCTCCAGTTGCCCTGTTAAAAAACAGGTGAGGAGACTATTTAGAAGGTGACAAGAAAAGCAAAACAGTCTCTCATATTCCCTTCCTTTCTGGGAATAACCTTTTGGGCCTCTACTGGGCAGTGGAATCCCGGTCCTGGGTTCCATCAATAGCTCCCCTTCAGCCCAGGTCTCTAATCTTCCCCGAGAGAGAGATCGATTGCAACTGTAGAAGGAGGTGAGGGACGGGGATCCAAAGTTCTGGAAACCTTGCAAATCTCCCGTGTTTACAAATCCCTTCCACAACGAGGAGGCAGAACTAGGGTTCTTGTGCCCAGTATGTAAGAAGTTTCCGCCTCTTATTTGCGAACCGGAGCGCGGAAAAGCCGTTAGCCGGCTCAGTGCCTCCGGCCCTCCCCACCTGCACTGTGGTGGCATGGCCGCCACGGCCCGCTGCTCTCCCCGCCCTCCGGGGGCCCCTGACCTCGTTGAGCGCGGGAAGCGCAGAAACCCACGCGCTCCGGGCGGCTGTGCCTGCGGCCCCTGCCCCGCAGCAAAGGGCAGCGAGGTCTCAGGGCTCTGGGCGCCCTCGATTCCCACCCCGCCGGGCGCACCTGCACTCGGGGCCGGCGGGGACCCGGCTGCGCACCCTCCTCAGCGGGCCCAGGCCCGCACTTTTTTGAGGCCCCCGGGGCTGCCCACTCCCCATGGAGCCAGGGTGTGCGCTCTGCGCGCGTGGCTCAACCCTTCGACCCGCGCCCAGGCCACGCATCCTGGAGGCGCCCCGCTGCCCTCGCCTCGGGCTCCTCGAGGGCTGCGGGGGGATCGGGGGAGGGGGGGGGCGCCTCACCTGCTTGCCCCGGAAAAAGAGGCGCTGGCATTCGGGCCGCACGTCGAACAGCGCCCAAACCCGCTCGCGCAGCTCCTCGATGGTGGCTTTGCGAGACACGTCCTCGATGGTGCGCGTCTGGGAGCCGTCGATGGTGCGGACCTGGATCCACATCTCGGCGCGCCGGGGAAGGGGACTGGCTCCGCTTTGTCTCCCCCTGCGCTGAGGGCGCCGCGCCCCGCCTGGCTTGCGCCGCCGCTTCCCGGTGGCTCTGGCTCTCCGCGGGCGGGCGGGCGGGCGGGCGAGCGCGCGCACGAGCGAGCGAGGAACACCGACCAGACCCTGGGCCCGATCGGCGGCCGCGATCGGAGATCGCGCACCCACAGGAGCAGAGCGGAGAACGAAAGGAAACCGGAACTAGACCCCGAGGTGCCGCCGCTCACAGCCGCGCCTCACAAATAGGAAGAAACCTCGTCTGCGCCGCGCGGAGTGTTTACTTATAGAGCTTCAGCTCCCACATGGAGGTCACGGCGCCAACGCGGGTCTCGCGAGATCCACAGCGGGCTCCGCCTTAAAGAGGAAGCGCCCGGGGAAGTGGCGAGGCAGCTCACTGGGCGGGGGGCGGGCGGGAAGGCGGGGCGGAGGGGCGGGCTTGCCCAAAGCCGTTACTTGCTCCTCCGCTTGCACCTCGGTTCTGGGCACGCCCTCTAGTCTTCGCATTTTGAGCGGTTGCGAGGGCCTCCACGATGGTTGCAGTTTGAGTCCTTGTTTCGGGACACTGGGGACGAGCGACTCCTCAGTTGTACCGGGTACGGTTCTGTTTTTTTTTGTTTTTTTTTTTAAAAACAAACACAAAAAAACACCAAAAAAATAAGAATCTGGCGTGCCGTTGTATGACCAGCGGGCGGCCGCGGCCTACATTTCTGAGAGAAAAAAGCACATTAGGAAATGGGCCCGTTCCATGGCGCTCTCTAGGGCGCCGCCCGCCACGCGGCCTGGCGGGGTTGGCCGCTCTGAGGACCCCGCTGCTTCGCCCGCGCGGGTGCCGCCAGGCCCGAGCTTCCTCCGCTCCAAAGCCATTTCCGGCGGGTTACCGGCGCGGAGCCGTGGCGTGGCCCCAGGCCCGGGCCCACAGGCCTCGGCCCCACTGGGGTCGCCCCGCCTGGCCCGCGCGCGCCGCTCACCCCGGGCCTCTGGCCACAGGAGCGCGGGGGTCATCTCCCGGAGGGCCACTCCTCAGAACCGGACGGTTCTGTGTGTGCACCTCTGTTCGGTGCGCCTTGCATGGAAAACAAAGGCTGCGAAACGACACACCTCGGAAGAAAGGACTCCTAAGATCTTTCTGGGAATAAATTCTCTTCAGAAATAGGCCCGTCGCCGCGTACCCTAACCTGTGGGCTTTTTATAAAAAAAGTGAAAATAATGTCTTCAGAAAGAAGAGAGCATATGAAAGTAGAAAAAATATGTATTTATATAACTGGGACCAAGTTCAGAGAAGACCAGTAGTGTTAAAAACAAAACAAAACAAAAACAACAACAAGCAAGCCCCACACAGAAGGAGCAGGGGAAAAAAGGAATATATGTATATTCCTTTTAATAGACTATATAGCCTCTGTCCTTGACGAAAAGTTTACCTTCATCTATATTCTCTAAATATAATTATTCTTGTCTGCTCCTGATTAAAGTAAATATTGAGTATTCATTACATGTGTAAATACTTTGATGGAGGTATGTAAAGCACACTTATCTCCTGCCCCAATAGGAGATAGTTATTTGCTATTAAAAGATATACCATGCCCTTGTGGAGGCATATTAAGAATTTAACTCCCTCTTCACAATGAATTTACAATTCTAAGACTTAGAATAATGAAGCTATTAAAGAATAACTTAGTACTAAACAGTATGCTTGGATGTGAACAGTAAAATAAAAAATTATTTATACGGATGCAGAGCAAATACTAAAGTGTATGCCACCAGTTATGATCCAATATTTGTTCAGATTAAAACAGCAATTACAAGTGAGAGAAAGGGGACAAGAATGATCTGGGAGCTTTAAGGATAAGGGTACAACTGGAACGGAGAAGGGAAGCATTTACATGTTCAGTTCCTGGATTGAGATGGACCTGAATTGTAAATTCCAGTTTTGCTGTTTCAAGTATGATCTTGGACAAATTATTTGCTTCAATGTTCTCAATGTAAAATGGCGCTTATAACATATAATGAATGTCAAGTGTTCAGCATAGTGCCTGACCCTTGGTAATACACACATTATATTCATGCTGTTATTATGGAAAGTATTTAGAATCTAAAGCATACTAAAAAGGGGAAGAGTGCTTCAGCAACGACAGAAGGTATGCATTTTTACAGGTTGGAAGAGGTTTCATATCCAAGGAAGGTTGACTAAATAGAAAAGGGCAGAGTGTGAAAATTAGCATTCAAAGCGGTCTATTTTGTGAGCCCCAGGGAGAAACTAAGGTTTTTAAGGAGTCCAGTGATGTGATTAAATTTGCATTTGGAAAGACAGCAGAGGAATGTGGAAGGATGCCTTGGGGAAAAACTAAGGGACCAGAAGGAGGGGGATTGTTGTCAGAAAGCTTGGAGAAGAAGCAATTGAGTCCGTTTTGGTGAAATCTGTGGCAGTAGGTAAAAGAAAGGATAGATTTCAGAGAATTCTAGAAAATCAAGCCTATCATACTTGCAGCATGTGTGGATATGAGGGATGAGGAAAACAGAATGCTGAGAATAATTCCCAAGTTTCTAATTTGGGAGACTTAATAAGGCTTGGGTAAATGGTGATACTCTGAACTAGAAGAAGCAGCAAGTTGGGAAAATGCAGTGATTTCCATTTGAGCTGTGTTGCATTTGAAATGGAGAGAGATCTTACAGATGGAAATATAAATCCAAAGTTTTGAAAGGAAGTAGAAAAGTTCTGAAAGAAGAACTGGTCAAGATCTCCCGTACTCACTTCCAGGTGGTGATTTCTCCTTCCCAATGTGGTGGGACTTATTCATGACGCAGCCTTTGGGTGGGGAGAGGGGAGGCTACTGTGTGTTTCTCCACACGGTACATATTATAACGACGGCTTTCTCTCCTTCCCTATGACAGTGTTGTGTCTGCTTAGTTCAAAGCTTCCTAGTTGTAAAAACAAGATAAAAGTTCTCTGTCAAAAACCATAATAGCAGACAGTTTAAACATACCATGACTTCTTAACTAGATGTATAGCTGAAACAACTTAGACGTGAACAGTAAAATAAAAATTTATATGGATGCAGAGCAAATACCAAAGTTTATGCCACCAGTTCTGATCCAATGTGTGTTCAAGTCAAAATGGGCAAAACAGAAAAGGAAAAGATTGACTGTGGAACTAATTATTCTAGAACCACCTCAGAATATCTCATTTTCTTAGCTCATGTCCTGAAGACAAGAATTTTTACTAGTATATTGCCGAAACCGGTTTGGCTCAATGGATAGAGCGTCGGCTTGGGGACTGAAAGGTCCCGGGTTCGATTCTGGTCAAGGGCATGTACCTTGGTTGTGGGCATATCCCCGGTAGGGGCAGCTGATCAATGACTCTCTCTCATTGATGTTTCTAACTCTATCTCTCCCCCTTCCTCTCTGTAAAAAATCAATAAAATATATATTTTTTTAAAAAAGAATTTTTACTAGTATATGTATCAAAATAGTGAATTTTAATATGCTATTTGAAGGTATGATTATGACCTTTTCAATGGCACCTCTATGCTGATTGTCTTCCTTTTGCTCCTTCAGGGCCACATTCAACCTGCTCTCTGTCCTGGGGTCCAGGGCAAGAAGTACATCCATGGGATCAGTGCTTTCAGGCTCAGGGAGGAAGCACGGACGGAAAATGCAGGATGAGAAGAGAATGAGGTCAGTATATTTATTTCCCTGGCTTTCTCCCTGGAAGGTTACCTCCAGTTGTCTGTTGCCTTTTTGGGAAAGCACTACTCACTCCTCTTAAAGTGGCCTGCTCTACGTGACTCACACTTTCATGTTCTGGAAACCTCTCCCTCCTCTTGTTGCTTTGGATCTAGATGTAACAGCTTTATAGTCTTAGGTTCATGCATATTCCATTAGTTTTCTGTAACTTTTTAGCCCACACCCTTTTAACTGGACTCTGGGAGAGGGAAGGAGAAACATTAAAGTACCTTAACTGGAAGCTTTCTGTTATAATCTCTAATGCTATTTTTAAAAAAGAACTACATATTATAAGAAGCAAATTAGAATTTCCATAGATTAAAAAGCTCTTCATATTGTGGCTCATTACTTAAACCTGTCATATTTTTATGTCCTCTTTCTTTTTAAAAGAATCACTGATTTTTACTGTGGACTTCTACTTTAGAAATCATTCTAGTCTGACCTTTTTAAATGAGAAAATGATTGGACAAAGGCATGCAGTCAATGAGTGGCAGTGTAAGAGCTTAAATCCTCAGTGTCCTTCCTCTCTAGCCAGTGTTTTTTTACCCTTCAGCTGTCCCTCTTTTGTTTCTCTGAAGGCTTCCCCCTTCACCTGGTTCTGAGAATAATCCTTCTTATTAGGGCCCCTGGTTCTTTGGAATATTTGATGGCTCAGATAGGATTGGGAATTTGGGATTCTCATTAAAGACTTACAATTTAATACGGTTTTGAATCATATGACTTCTTCTGCCTTCTGAGATTGGTCCTTCCTATTGCTGAACCTTTCTGAGGGTCTTTGGATCAATTCAGTTCATATTTCACTGAAGACAGTTAGATTCAACTTCTGATGATGGGTTCAATTTAGGGTTCAACTTCCAGTTACAACTTGCTCTGTAAAACAAATTTTAGAGGTTTAAAATAACAACAATCACTTTCTTATCACTCACAGTGGGACAGGAATTCTGAAATAATTCAATTGGAAAGCCTGGGTTTAGCTCAGACTCTGTCAATCCATTGCAGTCATACACAAGTAAAACTGGAAGAATCAGGACCAGGGCAGTTGAGAACTAGTTAGGCATCTCTTCCCTGAAAGTCTCAGGGCTAGATTCTTTACTTTCTTTTTTTAAATATATTTTATTGATTTTTTTACAGAGAGGAAGGGAGAGAGAGAGTTAGAAACATCGATGAGCTAAAACCGGTTTGGCTCAATGGATAGATCATCAGCCTGCGGACTGAAGGGTCCCAGGTTCGATTCCAGACATGTACCTAGGTTACGGGCACATCCCCTGTGGGGAATGTGCAGGAGGCAGCTAATTGATGTTTCTCTCTCATCAATGTTTCTAGCTCTCTGCCCCTCTCCCTTCCTCTCTGTAAAAAAATCAATAAAATATATTTTAAAAAAAGAAAAAGAAACATCGAGGAGAGAGAAATTGATCAGCTGCCTCCTGCACACCCACTCCTGGGGTTGTGCCTGCAACCAAGACACATGCCCTTGACTGGAATTGAACCTGGGGCCTCTCAGTCCACAGGCCAACGATCTATCCACTGAGCCAAATCGGTTCTGGCAGGGCTAGATTTTTTACATGGTCTTTCTCTGTGGGCCTACTTTGGGCTTCTTCAAGTCAATAAAGCGTAAGCTGTATCACTATTTATGGCCCATTTTGAAAGTCACCTAGTATCACTGTACCATATTCTTTTGACCAAAACACACTCAGTTTCAGGGAGAGGAACACAGACCCCCACCTCTCGATGGGAGGGGTGTCAGCAAGATTTTAAGAAGAGCATGTGGGATGGAAGATATTGTAACCATTTCTGGGAAATAGAATCTGCCCCATAGCAACTCCATCTAATTTTTTCTATGTAATTTTTTGTACGACTAAAAATTTTTAAATTATGAAATATATCAGTCATACAAAAAAAAAATAACATTTTTTTATTTATCACTTTGCTTTAGAAATAAAACATTTCAAATAGTTAAAACTCCACTTTGTGTACATTCCTCTTTCCCTCCAAAGAGATAAATATTGTCCTTAGTTGGGTATTTATTATTGGTAAATCTGTCTTTTTACTTTTCATACTGTACACATACCTCTAAACAACAGTAAATTGGAATCTTTTAAAGCTTTATTTAACATGATTCTTAATAACATAGAAACATTTTTTTAACTCAATACTATGTTTCTGATATTTATTCATGTTGATATATAGCTCTAAACTTACTTAAAGGCTCAAATGGTAAGTATGTTAAGTTAGTTTTTTAAAAAATATATATTTTATTGATTTTTTACAGAGAAGAAGAGAGAGGGATAAAGAGTTAGAAACATCCATCAGCTGCCTCCTGCACACCTCTCACTGGGGATGTACCAAAGTACATGCCCTTGACCGGAACTGAACCTGGGACCCTTGAGTCTGCAGGCCTCCGCTCTATCCACTGAGCCAAACTGGTTTTGGCATAAATATGTTAAGTTTTATGGGCAGATAGTCTTTGTTACAACTACTCATTCTGCAATTGAAGTACAAAAGTAGCTCTATTCAATATGTAAATGAATGAATGTGCTTGTGTTATGATAAAATTTTATTCACAAATGTAGGTGACAGAGTACAGAATTTGGCCTGTGGACATAGTTTACTGAGCCCAGCTTAAGTATCTATGTAATAAAAGGCCTGTATCTATATAATAAAAGCCACAACAACCAAAGACCAGTCACCAGGAAGTGCATGGAGTACTTCTTGGTCCCTTGGCCCACAGGCTCAGATTGCATCATTACTAAGGGAACAAGCCAAAAGGTTAGGAGCAGCCAATGGCTCAGACATTCAACACTGGAGAGAAAGGAATGAGGACCAGCCAGGCACAAATGAGCTCGTGAGGCCTGCAGTGGTGGCAGTGGTGGGGTCTGGGGTCCTGCCAGTGTGAACGGAGGAGTCTGGGGTCCAGCCCTCTCCCCACCCCCGCCCCTCATTCCCCCCTGCAAAATGTGTGGAATGTGTCACAGCCCCCCCCCCCCCCCCCAAATATGGCTCTGATGGCAGGCTAGGCCTAGGGGACCCTACATGCTCATGATTTAATCGTGCACTGGGCTTCTAGTAAAATTTATGACACTTCAGATATATTGTGTTCTCTGAAAGTTACTTTAGGTTATAATCCATCCCTAACCTGATCCTTATCATGATCTTCTGCCTTAAGAAGAAATTTTGAGAAACACTGGTCTAGGAGAAAAATGGCAGATTTGCTGGATTTTGATTTGTGGAACACTTCATTGCATTCCAGTTTTTACCTTGAGGATAAGGATCAGTAAACTCCTGCCTTTAGACCCCTCTAGCCATCATCTTTTGAACTTGGCCTGTCTCGTTTTCACTGTGCCTTCTCAGCCTAGAAAACTTAAACTCAAATGTCAAGATTTCCCTTAAATGCCACTTCCTGTAGGATGTTTTTTCTGATACCTCCCAGGTGAAGGAAATGTTTCCTTCTTATTTTCCTACTTAGCCCATATCTCTACTCAAACACTTAACTTAGAGCTGTAATTATTTATTTGCATGACTGCCTTCCCTATTACATCACCCCCCCCCCGCCTTTTTATTGAATTTATTGGGATGACACTGGTTAACAAAATTATACAGATTTCAGGTGTACAATTCAGTGAACACAATCTGTTCACTGTATTGTGTGTTCACCGCCCATTACATTTTCTATTCCCTAGAGGACAGGGATATATTCTATTTATCTTTGTTTCCAACACAAAACTTAGAGCTTGGTACCTAGATATATTTAGTAAGTGGTTGTTGAAGGATGGAAGGGAGGGAGGTCACAGTTCCATAAATGTGCATAATCTGCAGTCTTCTAAAGGCAGAGATGACTCTGTTCATCATTCTTACCTTCGACTCTAAGGCTTAGAGCATTTCTTCATGCCCTCCCACTTCCTCTTTTCAGGGAGGCAGATAAATCATGTCTTCCTTTATAAAGATAACCATAATTTTTGCATAGAAAACACTTTCCTGTACATTTTCTTGTAATCAGAACCTCAAGGTTCTAAAAGGTTGAATACATTCAAAGTTAAAGGAGCCATCAGACAGCTGGTTCCACAACCATCACATCTCATAGAACTGGACAGTGATATTCATCAGGAATGGTGTCAGATTCCTCGCATCACCTTTCAACAGCTTATGGAGTCAATGCCAAGAATAATCGCTGCAGTATTGAAGGCAAAAGGTGGCCCAACAAAGTATTGTGGGGTGGTCATAATAATCTGGCCACTCAGTGTATATGCAATATAAATTAGTGCATATATCCAACAAAGTATGTACAAGAATGTTCATATTGGCTTCAGTTATAATAGCTCTAAATTGGAAATCACCAAGATGTCTATAAATAGGAAAATGGATGAACAATTTGCAGTATATGCATACAATGGAATACTACACAGTGATAAAAAAAGAATGAATTACTAATATTTGCCACAACATGACTGAATCTCAAAAAATTATGCTGAGTAAATGAAACCAGGCACAAAAACTACATTCAGTATGAATCCCTTTATGTAAAGTTCAAGAAGATGCAAATTTAGTGTTAGAAGTCAAAACTTTGGGGAAATGGGTGGTGCTGACCAGGGAAAGCAAAAAAGAAACCTTTGGGTGATATTGATCCTATGTAATAAAACTCTAATATGCAAATCACCAAACTGCAGAACAACCAGTTTCTATGATGCACACTGACCACCAGGGGGTAGTTGCTCAACACAGGAGCTGCTCCCTGGTGGTCAGCTGAGCTCAGGGCTGGCGAGTGCAATGGCAGTGGTGGAACCTCTCCAACTCCGCTGCGCGCAGGAGGTAAGGAGCAAGGGGTCCGGAACTGTGAGAGGGCATAGGCTGGGCTGAGGGACTCCATCCCTCCCTTCCCCCAGTACATGAATTTCATGCACCGGGCCTCTAATATTCTATATTATGATCTGGATAGTGGCCACAAGAGAGTTTATATATGTAAAAATAGTAAATTATACACTTACGTAGATAGTACATTTTACTGTGTGTATAATAAATGTGTGTACTAGTATATGTCTATACTCACATAATTATATAGATGCCCTTCTTAGAAAAAGTAATTTTTAATATTTATTAATTATATTAATGAAAATATAAATCCTACCCTTGGCCTCAGGGTTGATCTATATAGAGAAATAAAAAGCTTTTGTTCTTCCTCCTCCTCTTTCAGAGATTAATTAGGGATAAAGCCCAATAAGAATTTGAACCTGTCAAAAGTAAGGAAAAGCTAAATTTGTTATTATTTTTAAAATATATTGATTTTTGGGGAAAAGAGGAGTGGAGGGTGCGGGAAGAGACTGAACATAAACTGTGCACCTATGGATGAGGACAATGGGGGGTGGGGAGGGGGTAGAGGGTGGGGTGGGAACCAGGTGGAGGGGGAAAAATGAGGAACTTTTGTAATAATATGAACAATAAAGGTTTATTTTTAAAAAAATATCCACAAAGATATATCAATTGAAAAAAAAAAATACAGGCAGCTACCATGTATCTGATGGGAAATAAAAAGATGGGTCTTTGATGTTCCAGCAAGTGCCCATGGTGGAAATCGATGGGATGAAGCTGGCACAGACCAGAGCCATTCTCAACTACATTGCTGCCAAATACAACCTGTATGGAAAAGACATAAAGGAGAGACCCCTGATTGATATATATTCAGAAGGTATTGCAGATTTGAATGAAATGATCCTGCGTTTACCAATATTCCCACCTGATGAATAAGATGCCAAGACGACCCAGATCAGAGAGAGAACAACAAATCGTTATTTCCCAGCCTTTGAAAAGTTTCAGCCCAGTTCTCCCACATATTCACTTCTTCAGTTTGGAGCCTTTCTCTGTGTTGTTCTGACAGACTCATTAGTCTTCGTTTTCTGCATAAGAGCTCTGAAAACCAGGATCAGCAACCTTCCACCTGTGAAGAAGTTTCTGCAGCCCGGCAGCCAGAGGAAGCCTCCCATAGACGCAAAAACATTAGAAGAAGCCAGGAAGATTTTTAAGATTTAAATAAAGCATGCATGGATTCCCTGGCACATGCAAGAGCAGTCTTTAGAAGTCGTCCAACAGTGAAATGTTCCATTTTGATGTAGACATTGGATCTTGTGAGAATAACAAGTTTTTCCCAAGTAATCAAATAATAAAATTCTATGAGCTGAATATATATATATATATTGATTTTTTTTTTTACAGAGAGGAAAAGAGAGGGATAGAGAGTTAGAAACATCCATGAGAGAGAAACATTGATCAGCTGCCTCCTGCACACCCCCTACTGGGGATGTGCCCGCAACCAAGGTACATGCCCTTGACCAGAATCGAACCTGGGACCTTTCAGTCTGCAGCCAAACTGGTTTCAGCAGGAAAAGCTAAATTTAAAAGCTGCTGTAGGTTCTGTCATTAAAGATATTGATGAGAGTTGGTTGTTTTGTGTTTTTGGAAAGGTATGGTAGTGTGTGTATGCATGTGTGTGAATATGTATGTATATGTGTGACCATGTGTGTGCATATGCTCTGTGAGCACATGTGGTGAAAGTGTATGTATGTACTTGTGCATTTTCTGCTAGATTTCCATAGGAGGAGTGAGGAAGTTTCATGAAAAGGTGTATTGCTTTGAGTCTCAAAATTTTGCTGAAGATCCTGAGTGTTATTATTGCAGATATAAATGCAGATATGGGGAAATGTTCAGTTTCAGATTAATTGCTCTGGGTGGAGCACAGAGCCTAGGACTAGTATATTACTCCTATGTTAGGGAGTAGGATATTTCTAAAGTAGGATTATCGTCTCACTGTGAGTAAAAAAGGAAGGGCTCTCTGGGGCAAAGTAAACTTTGAAGGAGGGTGGTAGAAATAAGTCTAGGAACTGTGGTGCTCGCCCAAGGGAGCCCTTATTTCTGTTCCTTTGGACCTTTAACATCCATTTCTATGTCTTTTTCTACATTGTAATTCACTTTATGTCTCTCACAATTCTCCAGAAAAGCCTAGTAGCCATTCTGTAGGCTTATATTAGTGGTGTTGTGGGATCAGTGGGCAGGGAATTAAGAGAAAAGGCAGTAAATGGAAGAGCAGCTTTATCACCTCACTTCCTCCTGAGGCCAATGTAACTAGAACCACAGGGTTTTATTTAGGGGGAGGATGGTGATCCTAGAATTCTCAAGGCCATCAAGAGTGAAGTGAACCAAACCCCACTATTGTAGGGATGGTTATGGAATTACATGACAACAGAGAATCTGCTGTAGCATGGACAAATACAGGAGGGGATGAGGTGAGGCAGGGATTGGAAAGGTGCGGGGGAGGGGGAGGAGTGAGTCCACAATTGGCTCACAGTATTTTAATATATTTGATAAAGAGACTGGAATGACATGTGAATGAAATTATAGGAAAGAATGAGACCTATTGGATTTTTTTTTCCATTTATTGATATATACCTTGTGTGTATTTTAAATAGTCAAAATAAAGAGCTAAAAAGCATTTGCATTTAGCTTCCTGATATAATGAAATTATGGGGACAAATTGAAGCAAGATACAAATTTTAAAAGTGAGTTTATACTCAAAAGATATTACCCATGGACACAGACAATGGGGTGGTGAGGGCCTGGAGTGGGGGGGAGGATGGGAGCAGGCTAGAAGAGGTTAATGGGGTGAAAAGGAGTCCTATGTAATACTTTCAACAATAAAGATATATATGTATGTGTATGACATGGAGGGGGGAAAAATATTCCTTGAGGATTTCAGTTATTCTGAATTATTTATAGATCAGTGTGTGTGTGGGGAGGGGAATCATGGATTAGAAATGAATGTGATTAAAATTGGTGCATATCTTCAGCAACTTTATCCAAAGTCAGCAAATATGCTAAGTGACTTTTAATTGTCAAAAGGTCAAAAGGAACTCAAGGAGAGTGAATATAATTGAGTCAGGGACATGCCCTTGTCAGATTTTGTATTCAGTAACTTCAGTAAAGCAACTCTCACAATATTGCTAGATTTTTATATGTCCCACTAGAGAACTGATGCACAAAATTCATGCAAGAGTAGGCCTTCCTTTCCCCGGCAGCCGGCACCAGCTTCCCTCTGGCACCTGGGACCTGGGCTTCCCTAGAAGCCCTTGCTTCTTCTGAAAGGTCATCTGGATGATGTATTGTATTATTAGTGTGCTAGGGTTGCCATTAAAAATACCACAAACTGGGCCAAAACTGGTTTGGCTCTGTGGATACAGCATCAGCCTGCAGATGAAGGGTCCTGAGTTTGATTCCAGTCAAGAACACATACCTTGGTTGCGGGCACATTCCCAGTGGGGGTGTGTGTGTATGTGCAGGAGGTAGCTGATGGATGTTTTTCTCTCATCGATGTTTCTAACTACCTATCCTCTCCCTTTCTCTCTGTAAAAAACCAATAAAATATATATTTTTTAAAATACCACAAACTGGGCCAAAACCGGTTTGGCTCAATGGATAGAGTGTCGGCTTGGGGACTGAAGGGTCCCAGGTTCGATTCCGGTCAAGGGCATGTACCTTGGTTGTGGGCATATCCCCAGTAGGGGGTGTGCAAGAGGCAGCTGATCAATGACTCTCTCATCGATGTTTCTAACTCTTATCTCTCTCCTTTCCTCTCTGTACAAAATCAATAAAATATATTTAAAAAAAAAATACCACAAACTGGGTGGCTTAAACAAGAGAAATTTATTTTCTCATTGTTTGGAGGCTGGAAATCTTAGATTAAGGTATTAGTCCTAGATGGCATGGATCAGTGGTTAGAACACTGGCCCTCACACCAAAGGGTCTTGGATTCAATTCCTAGTCAAAAGCATGTACCTGGGTAGCAGGTGTGATCTCCAGCCTAATCGGAGTGTGTATGAGAAGCAATGAGTTGATGTGTCTCTCTCACCTAGATGTTTCTTTCTCTTTCTTTCTCCCTTTCACTGTCTCCAAAAATCAGTGGGTGAGGATTAAAAAAATGTGTTGGCAAGTTTAGTTCCTCCTAATGCTTGTCTCCTTGGCTTGCAGATGTCTGCCTTCTCACTGTCCTCACATGATTTTTTTCTGTCTATATGTGAGCATTTCTGGTGTCTCTTCTTATAAGGATACTAGAGGTCTGGTGCACGAAATTCATGCACGGGGTTGAGGGTGTGTGTCCTTCAGCCAACCTGCACCCTCTCCAATCTGGGACCCCTCAAGGGATGTCTGACTGCCTGTTTAGGCCTGATAGCATTGGGTCTAAAGGGGCAGTCGGACATCCCTCTCATAATCCAGGACTCCTGGCTCCCAACTGTTCGCCTGCCTGCCTTCCAGATTGCCCGTAACTGCTTCTGCCTGCCAGTCTGATCACCCCCTAACTAATCCCATGCCAGCCTGATTGATGTCTAACTGCTCCCCTGTCAGCCTGTTTGCCCCCAACTCCCCTCCTCTGCCAGCCTGATCACCCCTCACTGCCCTTCTCTGCTGGCCTGGTCACCCCTAACTGCCCTCCCCTGCAGGGTTGATCACCTCCAACTGCCCTTCCTTGCAGGCCTGGTCCCTCTCAACTGCTCTCCCTTGCAAGCCTGGTGCCTCCCAACTGCTCTCCCCTACTAGCCATCTTGAGGTGGCCACATGGGGACAGGATCTTTGACCACATGGGGGCAGCTATTGTGTATTGGAGTCATAGTCAATCTGCATATTACTCTTTTATTAGTTAGGATAGAGGCCTGGTGTATGATTTGCTAGCTGGTTTGCCCTGAAGGGTGTCCCAGATCAGAGTTGGGGTTCCCTTGAGGCATGGTGTGGCCTGAGTGAGGGGGCCAGCCATGCCCTCTGGTGACCCAAGTGGAGGCCCTGGTATCTGGAATTTATTTACCTTCTACAATTGAAACTTTGTAGCCTGGAGCAGAGTCAAGCTCCCATTAGACCCAGTGATCCCACTTCTAGAAATATATCCCATGTTGATTCTATCAATCCATGAGCAAGGTATGTTCTTCTATCTGTTTATGTCTTCCTCTACCTCCTTTTTCAGTGTCCTGTAGTTTTCTGCGTATAGGTCTTTTACCTCCTTAGTTAAGTTTATTCCTAGGTATCTTAATTTTTTTGGTGTGATAGTAAATGGGATTGCTTTTTTAGTCTCTCTTTCTGTAAGTTCACTATTGGTGTATAGAAATGCCATAGATTTCTTGGCATTAATTTTGTATCCTGCTATATTGCCAAATTCATTTATTAAGTCTATTAGTTTTTTGATGGAGTCTTTTAGATTTTTTATGTCATCTGCAAATAAGGACAGCTTTACTACATATCAAATATTAATCTTAAAAATTCAGTTATCTAAATGTTAGTCACTGGTAAGTAAACAACAACAACAACAACAACAACAAAAACTGCATAGAAAAATGACACTGTGAGAAAGAATAAAATGATCTGATCTTTTTCTTTTTTTTTTTAAGAACTGGTGACCTGATCTTTTTTACTTTGCAAATTAAAACAATCTCAAAACGCTTTTTTCCTTTTAACGATCATATTAGTTCTAAAATAGTCAAAGCCTTTTTCTAAACCTAGATAGTTAAAATGAAATGTTTTCATTAAAAATACAAAGAACCCAATAATTCCAATCAGTAAGTTCTACAAATATGTAGTTAGAAAAGAAAGAGCTCTGCATATATAACCCAAAGAGATAGAAGTTCTGTGTACATTTTATCTTAATAGCTATTCAAACTTTAGGCAGTGGCAGGTGGATACTTAAAATATCAGGGGGACCACGTTTTAAAAAACATATTTTTTTACTGATTTCAGAGAGGAAGAAAGAGGGAGAGAGAGGATCATTGATTGGCTGCCTCCTGCATACCACTCAGGTATTGTTCTCTAAACTTTATCCTATAAAGCAGTGTTTCCCAAAGTATGGTACGCGTACCCCCAGGGGTACGGGAAGGAATCAGAAATCAAGCCAAGACCTCCTGGTTCATAGGTCGATACTCAACCACTGAGCCATGCTGGCCAGGTTATGGAGGGGACCACTTTGTAAAGTATATGATTGTCTAATCACTATGTTGTATACCTGAAACTAATACAAAATAATATTCAATGTAAACCGTAATTGAAAAATAATAGCTATTCATTTTAGAAAAAGAGGAAAAAATGTACTGAGGTAAATAATTTTGAAAGATGATTATTCTGATTTGGCTCGCCTACTTTTTAAGTAATCATGGATGGATGCAAGAGAAGCAGCCTGTGGTTGCTTGATTGGTTTGTCTGCAAGTCTGGAGTAGCTCCTGAGTGTTGGCAAGGTTCAGTGTGCTGTTCTCAGAGAAATTATTCTCATTTTGAAAGTCTAAACCTTCATTGGGGCTTAAAATACGACATTACAGTCCCACAGTATAAATATAAAAGACGTTTAAAATTTGGTTTTCAATATTGAGTTAGAAAAAGTTTGCAATCTGTTCTTTTTTCTCCAATAACCATAACCACAGATTTCATCCACTGTAAATATCTTAAGTTTACTTTTGTTGTTGCTGTTCAATGACATTTTCTGAGAGAAAAGAAATTTTTATATACCTGTATGTTTCACTTTAATAGTTCCTAGAATGTCTTATGAACATTAAGAGAAAGTCTCATCCCTTTCTCTCTGCCACCCCCTGATACTGGTAAATAAATGCACTCCAAAAGGCTATAAAGCAATGATAAAATCTATTACAATATCCACAAAAATGCCGTTATAATGAGAAGTTGACTTCAAAAGCTTTTAGTACCTTGCTTTGCAGTGTTTCCCAAACTTTTGACATATGTGTACCTCTTCTATAATTTTCGTAACGCTGAGTACCCCTCATACTCATGAGAACGTAGAATTAGGCGCAGCTAAGCACCAGACTCTGGTGCAATGCGTACCCCCACCAAACTCTTCCCGTACCCCTGGGGGTACGCGTACCACACTTTGGGAAACACTGCTTTATAGGATAAAGTTTAGAGAACAATGTGGTAAGTCACATTGAATTCCACAAAGGTAATATGGTTTAAAGTAGTCCAAAAATCAGAATTAATAAGTTTTAAAACAACAAAAATGATAATCTTTCTGAGCCCAAAACTTATTTCATTTTTTTTATCTTTAATACCTAGGAATTACATATTCGTTTTAGAAAATAGAGATAAACACAATAGAAAAAAATCAGCTGAATTTCTACCTTATTCTAGAGAAAACCACTGTGAATTTAAAAAATATTAATAGCTTTAGAGCCCTAGCCATTTTGGCTCAGTGGATAGAGCATAGGCCTGTGGACTGAAGGGTCCCAGGTCGATTCTGGTCAATGACATCTACCTTGGTTGCAGGCTCAATCCCTGGCACTGGTGTCTCTCTCAGATTGATGTTTCTCTCACACACTCACTCACTCTCTCTCTCTTTCTCTCTCTCTTCCTCTTTCCCTTCCACTCTTTCTAAAAATCAATGGAAAAATATCCTCAGGTGAGGGTTAATAAAACAAAAACAAAAACAGCCGAGCCCGGTTTGGCTCAATGGATAGAGTGTCGGCTTGGGGACTGAAGGGTCCCAGTTTGATTCCGGTCAAGGGCATGTACCTTGGTTGCGGGCATGTCCCCAGTAGGGGGTGTGCAAGAGGCAGCTGATCAATGACTCTCTCTCATTGATGTTTCTGACTCTCTATCTCTCTCCTTTCCTCTCTGTACAAAATCAATAAAATATATATATAAAAAAAACAAAAAAACAAAAAAAACAAAAACAAAGCCTTTAAACATTTCTCTATGTCTATTACTTTTACTTTGGACTCAATAGAATAACCTGAAAAATGTTCCCTTGTCACTATATAGACCTATTTTCATAGTTTTGATGGTTCTGCATAATATTTAATTGAATGAATAACATAATTAATAAACTCCCATTGATGGACATTTGGGAAGCTTCAACTTTTGCTACTCTAATGAATTCCAACATGAACACACACTTACATCTATACTATATATCTACATGTCTATATACTTAGATATCTGTACTTGTCTATCTTTATGCACATAAATTATTTCCTTAGAATAAGTTCCTGGATATATAATTATTGGTTTAATGAACATGCATATTTTCACACATAGGAGCCCTCTTAACCAAATAGATAAAAACTGGTAAATATATATATATATATATATATATATATATATATATATATATATATATATATATAGTATATATACACACACACACACACACACACACACACACACATACATACACACCCTAATATGCAAATTGACTGAATGGCAGAATGACCAGTTGCAATGGCCAGTTACTATGATGTGTACTGACCACCAGGGGGCAGACACAACACAGGAGCTGCTTCCTGGTGGTCAGTGCATTACCACAGTGGGAGCGAGACTCAGCCAGAAGCAGGGCTTATGGCTGGTGAGTGCAGTGGCGGTGACTGGGCCCTCTTCCACCTCCACTGCAGGCAGGCAGTAAGGATTGAGGGGTTTTGGACTGCGAGAGCCACAGACTGCAAGAGGGATATCTGAAGCTGGCAGGCGGACATCCTCTAAGAGATCCCAGACTGCGAGAGGGTGTAGGTTAGGCTGAGGGTCACCCCCACCCCAGTGCATGAATTTCATGCACCGGGCCTCTAGTGTGTATATATATATGTGTGTGTAAACATCGATGCTGTATGGGGCAAACTTAAACAAAGAGAGGTGGGAAACAAGAAGGAGTCAGCAGATAAATTGCCCACCCTTTTTCTTCCTAGCAGATGATTTTAAGAAGTATCTCCATATGGCCTTTCTAGAGAGGTCCCATGGCAATTAATTCATTATGTGCTTTATAAAGCTATAGTCAGCTTGCCTTCTCTCCTTTCCTGAATAACTTCTTTCCCCTCAGTTTTGCTTCCTTGGGATTGCATTCTCCATTAAAATATCAGCACAAAAGCTTTACCTCAGGCTCGGTCTTTTTTAGGGAACTTTGAAAATGGATTTCAGGATTAGCCCTAAAAAGCAAACTCTCAAGGTAGAATTTTGGAGTTGGATTGTCTACTTGAGTAAAGGCAATAGAGACCACATTGCTGTTGGTAAGTGGAACAAAAATAACCCTTAAGAGTAGGGTTATATTAATGAAGCCTTGCGTATGGTTAGGTGGGAAGAGTTACAAAGCATTATGTGGGAAATGATAATGATAAGATTTGT